TCCCTGTTCAATGTGTGTTCATTCTTCTCTAGCCAGTCACATTAGCAGTACAGTAAATTGTCTGCTCCAGAAGGAAAGAGAGAGGTAGAAACTTAGAAAGAATATGGAAAGCACTTTGGCAAACCCACCCATCAGTAAATTCTAGCGTGGGCTCATATTCAGGCGATACTACACTCCTCTCATGCTTCCCAAGGCATCCAGAAAAAGTACAAAGTTGTATTTGAAACGTATAGGAGTGCTAACAAGGGAGCTCAAGTCATGCAAACAACACAGATACATTAGTAATAGTCCAAGCTACAGAGCAGAGAGCTCAGGATACAGAATTAATTAACATGTGGAAGACCAAGTCTTGATCTTATTAAAGAGAGCTAAGTGGCTACATGGGTTATGAAACTGGCACTAATGACAATTAGACCACAAGGAGAAAAGATTTTTCCCTAGACTGAAATGAAGCTGTAATGCAAAATGAATTTGAGAACACTTCCCTTCCTTACTTCAAACCAACAGATGGAATAATCACATTAGGAGATTAGTTAAAAAATTAACTGCCTTTTCTTCAAGCAGCATTTAACCCGCTATTCCACTACTGTTACTTTGCTTGTTCCAGGAGGATGATCTGTATAATACATGCTTACGACATAAATAAAAGTGAAAGAGATTTAACCAAATGCCCTTAATTCAAAGCGGAAAATTATTTTGGAGTACAGGAACAAATCAATGTTTCCAGGCTCAGGTCTCCTAATATTACTGGGAAACTTACTAAGACAACTATCCAAGCACTGTCAGAATCACTAGTTTTTATTAACTGCCTGCTCCTTTAAAAAAAAAAAAAAAAAAAGAAGAATTGATTTGAACAACGTTGATAAGTTTTCTAAGCAATAACAGAGAAAGCGAACAGTACAGGAAGAAAAGGTCTCTTATTCAAGAGGTGAAATACAGAGGTCAATCTACAGTTTGTATGGGATACTGGGATGGTAAGGACTCATATATCTGGAACATGGAAAAATGAAAAGTCATTAACATATCTTTGTGTGTCATCATGTCCAGTAAGTCTCTTATGCCCCATTCTGGTAACTCACCATAGTCTCTGCAAACATACTTGGAAACTGAAACATGTTGCTTCTCGGATGGAAGCTTTTCTCTAGAGATCTAGTCTCTTGACAGAAACCACTAACTTCCATGGTAAATTAAAAAGATAGTTTGGACTTCTAAAGGAGAAAACAGCAAACTTCAGTACAACCAAAATTAACAGTATAAAAAACCTGTCCATTATCTTAAAAAAAAAAAAAAAAGCCAAACACTGAACAAGACCCTGGTCTCTCCAAGGACAGAGCAACACCTTTTTAGGTACAAACATGTGAAAACTCTGAGCTGGCTCACAACAGACAGAAGTAGCGCTTAATCTTCACAGATATTCTACAGTTAGTGGGTTTTCATTTTGGTTTATTTTAAATTATTATTACGGACTGTATACTGTAATGAATATGTTTGTCCCTCAATAGGACAGTCTTGATTCATGCAAAGGAACAGCTGAGGAAGCCCTGAGGAGGCTCATGTACAGCAAAAGTCTGGAGAAAACAGACATGAAGGGATGTACGCATATGTAGGCCTCCATTTGTGCATGGATAAGTAGGGAAAAAGTTCACGGTTATACAAAGAAAGAAGCCTTCAAGGCAGGATTTTTTTTTCCTCCATGTCTGAGAGAAGAAGGAATCAATAACAAGAAGTCTCACGGTTTTAATTACCAAATTTGACACCATCCCGAGTTAAGAAACAAATTTTATTCTACGGTGTTGCACTTCAATTGTGCCCATGTTCTCAGACACAGTTGTATGAGAACGAGACATATCTTAACAATCAGCATTTTTGGAGACTCCAAAAATAAAGTGGGCCTACTGAATTCTCAGAAGAATAGTTCCAGCTGGCAGATGTCCTTGTACATAAAGGTATTCCTACTACTGGAAAGGGAAAGGGGTTAGTGTGAGCCCTCAAAGACTCCAATATTTTGGGGGATAAGGGATATATATACATACTGCAACAAGCCTTTTCTTCCCCCACAGAATTACAGAAGAGGACAAGAGTTCATTAAGACCCCATGTGGAAATGGTAATACACCACTGCCTCTCACAGTGCTGACTTGACCAGCCTCAGCTGCTGTATCCATCAGCCTGCTCTGTGCCAGGAGCCCCAGTTAGGCAAAGGCCTATGTTCTCTGTCCTGGCTTGAGCTTAACTACCATGCCTGCTTACAGCCCTGCGCTCATCTCCAGGATAGACCTCAGACCTGTGTTGTTTGTACCTTTCTCCTGAGTCTTGTCTCCAGCTCATATCCTTTTGATCCTGACTGGAGCCCCTGGATAGACCCAGGCCCTGGGTGATAATTCATCACCCAGGCACATGGTGTGACTCTTAGGAATGTCCTGTGCAGGGCTAAGAGTTGGACTTCATGATCCTTGTGTGTCCCTTTCAACTCAGCATATTCTATGATTCTGTGATTTGTCATGTCTGGCACTGCTGGTGGGTCCTACTACCAGCCCCCAGCTTTGCCCACACTGCTCAGGCCCCATGGCACCAGGTTGGGTGTGGGCACTGCCTGTGCTGGTGGCATCCTCTGGTCCCTTCTTGTCCTCCCTCATGGAGAAACCCTGCTCATGCTGCTGCTCAACAGTATCAGACAAACACATTTCAAAAGAGGAAATCACTATTTTTAACCAAGTATTTCTTACTATTTTAAGACTGACAGTCTGATCCAAACTCACCTCAGTAAAGAGGACTCTCATCTCTCAATAAAGAGCACTGTATCAAAAACTAGTCTTCAAAGTTTTCTCCAGTCTCTACACAGAGAAAACAACTTGACTCCAATATGGTATTGGTTCTGAAAGTTGCCATAGCCAGACTAGTAAGGCAAATCTGATAAAATTAACACAGCAAATCACAGTGAGTAATATGTGTCTTGTTTTTCATTGGTTACATTTTTGTATTTTCAGAAACTGTGAGTGCTGCTGCTTTTCTAAAGCTATGCTTTAACTTTCAAACCCAGAATAGTAACCAAAAACGTCACCTACAATACACAGGTGGAGAGGCTGGGGAAGAGGAAAGGGGAAGAGAAAGACAGGAAAGTATAAAATTACAAAAAAATGTAATTCAGGAGAGAAGGAGAGGAGGTAATATAACAGATTGAGATATTAGTTAATTTAGGTGTCTTATACACCTGACTTGTTTGTTTCAGGCTTTCAGAATGCTTATCAAGTCATATTTGACTTTATTCTCCATGAAGTAAATATACTTTCGTCATTTCTAGTATTTTTTAGATTATTTTATGGTATAAAACACATATTCCATTGACCTGAGAACAGCAATAACTGCTAAGCGAAGCAATTGGTGCTTGTAAACTATCAGGTCCTGAAGAAAAGGTTTTCCTAATGTAACATCTTAAGGAGATGTTAATTGTCTGCAGTTTGATCAATTTGGGAAATAATTGTTTTTTCAAAACCCAGTATGCAAATACATCTGTTCAAAGTACATTAAAAAGAATTTTCAAATGATTGCTACTCTCATCAGCCACCTATGCCTAATACCCTACAGTACCCTTATTGTATTAACCTCTCTAATTACGGTAGCAATAACCTGGTATCAAAAATAGCAATACATTCTGCCATCTTAAATTCACTACTACAAGTCAAAAGATATACGAACAAGACCATAGCTCAATTAGCTTACCACCTTGACAACATTTACAACTAGAAAGATATTATAACATTAGATTGTGATAAATTTTAGTGGAAAAGGAAAATTTATGACATCTGAAACTCAGCTCAGACATGGCCAAATGTAAAAGAATGCTTTGCTCATTTTTAATCACAAAAAGCATTTTCGTGGGCACAAACAAGATGTCAACAGGAAAGCCAATAAGGGAAAGAATTTGGATCACTTAAAGTAACTGCATCAGAAAAGCTCATATCCAGACTTCAAAAACAATCCATGCACGAAAATGCAGTTTAAAAAGTTATTACAATTCAGCAACATGACAAAACATCACCCATATATTTACCAAAAATCAGAGGAAGAAAAAGCAGCCAGACTAAAATTTGAACTGGTATTCTGACCTAAATAGCACACTATATTTTACAGCAAATTATGAAGGTCACATTACTTAAAGACAAGGAAGTAAGAAAGAAGATAGTAACAAAACTCTTTTACAAAATGTTTATGAATGTGCTAATCTAAACTCAAAGTGAGGGAAGATCCACCACGTTTTTTTTCCTCTACGCAGTAAATTCACACCCACCTGGAATGCCTAGAACGATGCATTTTAAATCTTGCCATCAGGGAAATTTCTATACAACTTGGAGAAGATACAAAAATCAGAAGAGGACTTGTGTGGGATTTCTTTTGTTCTTGCTGTTTTGTTATTTTTCTTTTTAGTAAACTGACAAAATGGGACGTTACCAAGTGGAGTTGAGAAAAGGAAAGCATCAAGGTAAGGGAGATTAAAATAGAATTCCTCAAAATAGGAATACAGAACAGAAGCTTGTGGTCTTATGGGGAAATTGCTGATTGATAGGAGAGAGTAGCTTGTTCAAACAAAGAAAAGAATAAATATATACAGGATATCTCCTGATCTTTCAACATATTAGAGGGGCACAACAGAAGTAACTATATCTAATTTAGCAATCAATACATCTGGGCTGACAATCACGTCAGATGGATCTCAATGACATTTACAGATCTTAATGAGCTACTAACAATATTCCGGAACTACCATCTTAGAAATCAAAAGAACATGGGAAAAAAACCTCTCTCTATACTCTTTTCTTCTCATATCCAAAGAAGCAGGGATTCATTTTCCAGAAAGAATATAATTTCATGTCTTTCACTATTCAAAAGTGGTCATCCTGCCTCCTTCTGTGTAGCTTAGGAGTAATACACTAGGCCTGCAGAAAAAGATAAAGGGAATTCCTCAGCAGTACTGTATGTTTTATACATTTTGAAGACTCTTACCCTGTATTGATGGAAATTATTTCTATCAGTGGATTCTTCCTAATCTTTGGCAAATCCAGTCGTGCTCCCCCCAGACGTTTTCCATTATCCTTTTTCTGACCCAGCAGTCTCACAGAATGACCTTCAAATGAAGCAAAAAAATGCAGTCAATACAAAGAACAAGTCCCATCGTATTTGTTTTAATTTGCTCTTCTTTAGAAGTAGTGTTTATACTTCAAAGACTGAAAATGAGAATGAGATGTAATAATCTATTTCCACCAACTGGAGCATTTAAAAAGAGACTCTGACAGGTAAAATACATGATCTTAAAACGAACAAATTATTTCATCCAATTATCTTTTCACACTTGCATTTTCTGTTTTAGCCGATTAAAATGATCTAAGCAGTTTCATTTTCAGATTCTCTAGCAAATATCAACATAGTAGTAATATTTAAATGGCAGGATTAAAATATTTTTCCCAAAAATTTCACTCAAACCTAAATTAGTAGGTAATAAGCATCTAAATACTTTTTTAGCTTGTAATATGGAGAACCAACACATTTCAAAGGTATCTGACTGTGTAAGTCTGAGGGAAAGTGCTGTGAAGCATATCCTGACAACATGTCCATGGTTAAGCTGATTCCCAAGATTTGAGCATATTCCTCCCCACACCAAGACAACTGCAGGTCAGAAAACTGCCTCACAACTCCTTTCCTGAAACCAGTAATATTCAGAGAGTAAAATACAAATAATTTCACCAACTGCCTACAACAGTACATAAGTCATACCACAACAAGACCTATATTTAAAGAGCACAAATGACAGGGTTTGCTGATATTCAGAAGGAAGAACTAATAATGAAGACTCAAAACAATTATGTATATTATTGCAACGCATAGTATAAATGTAAGACGTATCATTTACTGCACAAAGCCTAGAATAGGCAGATGAGAGACAGCAAGGGAAAGCTAATGCTTTCCTGAATGGAGTTGGAAAGTAACCACTACTTGCAGGGAAGGAGCAAGAGAAAGCATGTATTTGTTGAAAACTTTTTGATAGCTACAGCTACAATCCCTCAAATCTTTCAGAGGAGAAAAATTTCCCCTAAAACAGGAGTGGGATGAGAGGATTGCGTGCAACTGTGAAGTTACAAGTTGAGCTACATCCACCATAGCAAAGTCTATAAACAAATCAATTAAAACCTGTGTTCAACCAAAGTTCCTAACTTACATTACCAACAGCTATTTACAAAATTAATTCCTTCATCAGCCAAAGCCTTTCTTCACTGCCTGTTGTGAGAAGTCAAAAATTATTTTTTTAATAACATAGCATTCATACTCTGAATTTATTTCTGTGATATGGCAATGACAGCCTGCATGAAAACTACTAGTATACCATCTTTCTCAGGCTTTTTAAGATACATAAAAATTCTCAATCAAATACATGACCTAATGAAGAAGTGAGCAGTGACCTGACAGTATAATGGTTAATACCAACAGTAGACATAACACTTAATACTGATAGGACACATCATAATGTCAACACGAAACAAAAGGCATAACTTCTGCAGTTGCATTTGACAAAAATTTCATTATATCCTGCTGTGAATTTAGTAATATGGTATTTATGCTATTAATATTTGCTAACTTATTCACTTCTACATTTTCCTAACAACAATAGCAATATCTTTGTCTCACAATACATTCAGTTATTTCCCAATCTAATGCTTCACTGAGGAGTTGCAAGCACGGCACCATTTTATTTACTTGTGTAACAAAAGTTACTGCATCATGTAAAATGTAAGAATTAAACTAGAAGCAGAGAACACGCCTTTTTGTATTTCTAAATAGAGTGGTTTACTTGGTATAAACCAGTTTATCCATTTTCAAAATATTCAACTACATTACTATATTAAAACTGTATTTGGATTTATGGCTGAAAATACAGTGGAACAATTCACAGTAATTAAATATTACTTAAAACAATTGGGCTTAACAGCAAGTTACCCAAAATTTAAAATTCATACACTTAGAACTGGGGTCAAACCACCATTCTTAACTTTAAAAAACAAAACCAAACCAACAAACCACAAAACCAACCTGCCACCTCCCCCCCACAAGTAACATCTCAGAGTACAGAATCAGTGAGGCTTCACTTCCACACACTCTCATAACTAACAGCCATGTGAGTTACTGCTGTCTAATAGGAATTTAGCTCATGTTCTCCCTTTCTCATACTGGAAGTATTAATCAAACAGGCAAACTTTTTCATGGAACTTCTGAAAAAAAGTGTGTCCTTTAGCCTACAAAACTTGTCAAAAGTCTGTTTGAAATTTGTCAAAGGACGAAAAACTTGTAAGGAGGGAGGGAAATGGAAACAATGACAGATTTGTGCAGGAGGCACAAGTTTATAATCTATCTCTTCTTAGGAGATCAGGTAAAAAAAAATAAAGACAAACCACTACTGTAGCCTAAAAAATCTTGTTCAAAAGCACTGCTTCTATCTTCTTACAGATCTTTGTCCTTCAGATGCTAAATAAGTTACCATATATATTAGGGAGAAAAACAACAACAACAAACCAACCAACCAAAAAACCTTAGAACATTCTACACAGCAAACATAGCTCACAGGGAGTATATGACCCAGCCTCTCCTACCTTCAGAAACTTCCTTTATTCAGGAGAGAAATCCCTGCTCTGTGACCATCTCCCAAGTGATTCACTAAACACTAACATCCACCCCAACCCCGCTCCTGAGCTCAGGAAATCCATGGTCTGGCAATCAAATATGGCAGCTTATTTTCACATGAAATACATTTCCCATATTCCTACTTTTCAACATCAGAATGACACTGACGTTCAAGTTAATATGAGGCTTGCAAGACCTGTGTGGAACTTGGGGATAAGAACATCTCTGCACTTTTCAGTCCAGACACCAGAGGCTAAAAAAAAGCAGTACTGGGAGATGACTTTTAGCAGAGAGTTTAAAGCTTCCAAAAAGCAAACAGCACATGCCCATCCACTACTGTGACCTCTTTGCAGACACATTCAATTTTTTAATTTTTTTTAAGAAAAAAAACCACTCAGTTACAGTATTTGTGACCTTAAATCCTTTTTCTCCTACTCCATACAAGGACTATTTTTTGTTTCATTTTAAGTAATCACTAAAGCATCTGTTTACAGAATTGTTGCTATTAATAAAACACAACTTGATAAACACAGAATCATACTGCAGATCTTTTTTTTCCCCTCATATTTATTTCAAGAAAACTTAAAAATAAGTATTTTGTCGTCTTCAATAAGGAAATGGCTAAGTAACATTTTTTTATATTTTTCTAGTCAGCACTATTAAGGTCACACTAAGATCAAGCGTTACAGAAAAAACAGTAATTTTAAATCTCATTTATAACCTCCTTTCAAAGCTTAGAATGGGGCAAAACACTGCAATTAAGCTCTACTTCCAAAGCATTTTATCTGATTAAGTTACCTTCTCTCTGACATTACAGGTTGGATAACTTACCTAAGCAAAACAGGTGTCACAAACTTAAAAGGAGTCTTTCTTTTTATGTTTGTTTTGTTTCTTTACTTTTTCTTTCAGTTTTGAAAGAAACATTTCTGAAATCTGAGTTAATCACAAGTCTACCACCATAATGATGAGTGCTCCACCTCAGATATCAAACAAACAACACACCTTTTTTTATGGCTCACTGGATGATGCAAACTTTGAAACACAGCTTAATGACAAAGAGAGCTAGTCAGGTTAGATATGAGAGCCTAAACAGCCTAGGCATATAAATCTCTTCTGCTATAAAAATAACTTTTCTACTTCCACATAGTCTAACTGCAGACAAAACTTCCCTAAGAAAAAAAACAAAAACCAAAAAACCCTCAGAAAAACTCCACAAACAAAAAAAAAAAAAAAAACACAAAAAAGAAACCACAAATAACAAACAAAACAAACAAAAAATGGTTTAGGTCATGATTCAGAATAAATTTTCACTAATTAGTAGATAATTAATACAGATTACTACCCAACAGTACTAACCAAGTCCAGCAAGGACAGTTACAGAGCAGAATCACTCATAGCAAGTGTAAATGAAATCAAGCTAGAAAGAATTAAAAAATAAATCAGAGCTCTCTAGTTTTCAGAACTGTTTAAAACTAAACTCATCTTTACATAGAAGTCAGTGGATGTAATTCATATCACTTGGCACTGTCTGGAAAAACGATGAGGTTGGAATGAATTAATCAGGATATTAAATCCTATTGTTAGTCTAAAAGAGGGCATTCAAATGTGTCTAGCTTGATAAATCAGTGTGCAGAATGAAAATATTTTCAAGGTATTTTTTTTTACTTGCTAAAAAGGACATCAAAAAGTAACACAGCATTAATGGCATGTATGTCTTTAATCATGGATGCATGTGCTTCAGGACTGTGATGGAGAATGCCCGATCCTGACATAGAAATATATGAACGGAACAGGCAATGGAATTTCTCTGCCATAAGATCATAACATGAAATGTCCTGTGTACCTCAGCCTACCATCAGACCCATCACCTAGAACCACAGAAGCATGCTAATGACATTAGAGCAAATAGATTCAAACTGGAGCAGTATTTTCCTAGTTTATTACAAGAATAAGTGGCCTGGATTATTCATCCTTAGTTAACTTTAACTGACTATCAGTGTTGTATGAGATATTAATATAATCAGCTTCACTCTGTCCATAGGCTGGCACCCCTCAATTGCTGCTGGGAAATAGTATCTGGTTGGACAATGGAAGAGGGCATCCATTGAGGATCCCTCCCCATCCCTGCACACCCTGCTGGAGCTACAAGTGTACCTCTGAAACACAACTCCCAGTCAGACACAGAGTTCTCTTAGCTGTTAACTTCAAAGTTCTGTGCAGATATCTCAAGCAGCTCAAAAACATGAGTTTAAAGAAAATCCTCAAAGATGCAGGAAATCCCAGCCTTGGCAGCAAAAATTTCTATTGTTTTCTGCTCGTTCTGTTACCCATTCTTTCCTTTTCCCAGTTACATCATGATGCTTAGAGGTTATTCACCATTTCCTGAAAGACACTTTTTTCCTCACAACACGGCTGCCAAAGCACTGTTCTATACTTCCCTGATGTCTCTCACCA